GCTCGGCCACGGGAGAAACCCCGTTCAACTTGGCATACGGAGCTGAAGCCGTCATCCCTGTTGAGGTCGGTCTATCATCTGCTAGGTCAGATCGTCATGACGATCAGGCTAATGGTCAACTCTTAAGAAAGAACCTAGACCTAGTGGAGGAAGTTAGGGAGACGGCTCGAATTAGAAACATGGCACACCAAAGTAGTGTAGCAAGATTCTACAATAAAAGAGTCCGAGCTCGGCAGTTTCAGGTTGGCGACCTAGCATTACGTAAGGCTGGGTTAACTAACACATATTCCCATATGGGCAAGCTTGCCCCTAATTGGGAAGGTCCATACATGGTGACTCAAGTTAGCCGACCTGGATCTTACGTATTGGCAGATCTGAACGGGCGTCAATTACCGTTCACATGGAACGTTCAGAACCTTAGAAAATTTTATAGTTGATTTATATTATTGTAGAAAATTTCAATAATGTATGAGCAATTACTGGAAATAGTACACACAGTTTTCCAAAATTCGTTTCAATTATATTCTTTGTAAATTCATTACATGAGGTGCCCATGAGACTACAAAATATGTTGCCAACAAGCAAATGTTGAAAATGCAAAAATATAAGAAAAAGAAAAGCCTAAATCTAATCGTCCGTTAAATCCACGGGAGCGGACGCATCAGCACGAGCTGGGATTGAGATGGCAGCAGGGGTGGGTTGAAGAGCAGGAGGAGTACTTGAAGGCTCAGCTTCTTCTACAGGAGCATCACCAGCCCAGGTGTCGAACCTCGGCAGATTCTCATACTCCTCTCATTCCTTAAGGACAGACGGTGGCCATATTGGCAATCCCTCCTCGTTCAGCTCCCAACGGAGCCTCACCGTTGTGTCAGAAGGTTCAACAAGGCTCTTCCCTTCCGCATCGAACTCTTCACCATCAAAAAACGCGAGCTCGTTGATTGGGAAGTCCGGCCGGTGCTTCAACACCTTACCACGAACATCATTGTAAATCTCAGTCATGGTGTTCATGGATGCCACAGCTGCGGCGTCCTGGAACATGTCAGCACCAACCAGCCATTCCGCGCCTTGAGCTCGCACGATGCTAATACAGCGCTGGTGTTGAGCCTTGGCCTGCCTCAGGGATTCCTCTGCGTGGGCAAGATCCTGGTCGGCCACAGCAACCCGCCCTCTTATGGCGTTGAGATCGCCCAACGCGCCATCTCTCTCAGCCTCTACTTTCTTCCTGAGATCCACTGCACGAACGACCTCATCCATGGCCGCCTGAATCCCACTCTCCTTCTCAGCTTTCACCTTATCCAGCTCCTCCTGCAGCTGGATGACCTTGTTGGCCAGCTCGTCAGCCCGGCTCTCGGCTGACGCAGCCCTGTTGGCCATCTCTGAGCTTTGTAAACGGTTCACCTCATCCTCCAAGCTCGCCTTGTCTGAGGACAGCCGCTTGCAAGTGTCAGCCAGCTCCCTATTCTGTATTCGAGCTGCCTGCTCGCTCTCGAACAGAGCTACAGAATAGCTTAGAGCCTGCAACATGTCTACAATCAGTTTTTACTCTAAACTTACAACAAAAAATGTTTGTCAAGCACAATACTCACATCCATCATTTTCAGCATTGCAGCGTGAGTCCCGTGCTGCTGAATGTAGCCTTTAGCACGGTGGCGGTCCACAGGCGGGACGAAATTCTGCATACCCTGGACCATAGCGAGCTGACAGTCTGGTTTAGTGTAGCTAAAACCGTCAGGGTATGCGATCCTGGGCCCACCGCTAGCTACTGGTGATGGAAGCGCCTCGGTCGCACTGCGCAGCTGGGCCACGGGCGCCTCAGGTGAACGCACCACGCCAGGTTGTCTCCCGAAATCCAACCTACGCCGGATTAATGGTACGTCATCCTCAGCATCGGACTCGTCGCGGGCACGCCTCCGTACATCAGCTGGTGTGGGCTCTACCCTGCGCTTAGCCGCTGGCCGTGAGACCGAGCTGGAGCCCTGTTCCCTCTGCGCCGAGCTGCGAGGTACTGCAGGCGGTAGCTCGTCAAAGCACGTTTGCCTCCTCGCGCCAGACCCAGTTCCCCTGCCACGAGAGCGCTGAGCTCGCTCCCGTTGTCTCTCAAGCATGCTACTCATCTCTCCTGCACAAACACGTGTAATAAGACTCAACTCGTGAAAAAAGTAATTGACAATAGAGATATACCTTCACTAAACAGGTTCGGGATATCCACAAACCCACGCAAAGTGAGCACCTCAGGGGTAACCAGGGCTTCCAAATCAACTAACCCCCCTCCCTTCACATAGTTAGTGATCCTATCCCTAAGCTCCAGGTCGCCTGGGGTTAAGGTGGGGTAATTCATGTACGCATGCCCTGGGCGCCACTCAGATAGACGAGCTGCCAGATCGGTGCTAACCCTCTCTGCTCGCGTATCCCGGACAAATATAAACTGTCTCTTCCAACGAGACACCTTATTCCTTATGTTCTTGAAGATGGCCATTTTCTCTCGTCCAGAAATGTAGTACCACCTCGTCTGTGCACTGCTCAGCCGGCACAAAAATAGCGACCTGAAAACAATGGCCTTCGCAGGTATCTGCAGCCGTGCACACAGCAACATAAACCCTACGATGAATTTTATACTGTTGGGAGTCAACTGTGTGAGCGCCAGTTCGTACTCTGACAGAATGTCGAAAATCAGCCCGGATAAAGGAAACCTCAGGCCGGCGTCGAAATGGTCCATATATACAGGTATCCACCCTGTTGCTGACACACTGCAGGCCCTTTCATTTTTGGTCCCTGTTCGTAACAAAACTGTCCTAGGAACGTGGTATCGTCTCACTACCTCCTCCAGCCTCTTGTACCCTTTAATGGAGGTAGGACAATCTGCTACCTCATGATGCAGGTTCGCCCGAAACCGAAATCCGACCGTCAATGTATTCGGTGCCTTGCGGAGGTTGCTTAACCTACCACCTATGGTTTTGTTTTCCCAGCCTGCAACCGGAGGCACGTTTACGGCCACTTCCATACTTTCCGGCGAGGTGCTACTTGCACTAGCAGTGTTTTCTGATGACGACCCTTCAGATGACGGAGAGGGGTTAGCACCGGAATCCTCATGTGCCCCTGAACTGGCACTGCCCTCCACCGTAGGGGTTTCCGGCACGTCTTGCAGTTCCGGTGGTACAATCATGGTAATGGGTTCTACCGCCATCACGTTCTCTTCCCCGTCCATGCCCTGGTTACCCCGGAGTTCTCCTACTCCACTAACAAATTCCATTTTTTATTACCTGAAAAATTGGTACTGAAACTCCTTGAGAAGATCACCTGAAAACTGTGAAGGTCCTTTGCTGCAGAAGAATACAGAAAATATGGAACTGGAAAATGGAAACAAAGGTAACAGAGAGGTTACGTGACCGTGCCTAGCACTGCCGTACGCGCCTCTCTGCCAACAAGTCAAAACGTTACACGTGGCAAGCACTTATTGCTGGGCGTGTAACGTCCACCGGCTTTAGCTGTCACGTCTCTTCAAATGACGAGCCAGCATTTATTAGGGGAGGATTGAGAATACTAACCGCTCTGAACCAAATCTCTTTAGAGATTTCGCAGGTTTGAAATTTAAAAAGTGGCCGAGGACCAGCTCGTAACAAAATTTCCTCAGAGATCTGTCTTAAGTCAAAATTTGAAAAGGTCAAGAAATCAGCTCGTACCTGCTCGTCATCTTTCCAGATATCTCGACCAGCTCGTAACTAATTCAGGATCTCAGCAGAGATTTCTACCAGCTCGTAACAAAATTTGAACAGTTTGAGAAACCTGCTCGTTGCTGGCCCACGGTCTATCCAGAGATCTCAAACTTGGTCAGATCGTTACAAACCAGATCACCCATATCAACCTGTACGGGCGAGCTTCTTCAGCTCGTTCACTATACGCTAGCTCACTCAGGTGAGATCGTCCGCGCCTTTGCTCAGCTCGCTAATCGGGCTGAGCTCGCCTTGCCGGACCACCAGCGTGCTCTCGCCTGCTCTATAGGTGGTTTCTTGCTGCCCAGATCGGCCATCCGCGAGACCGGTCATGAACGATGAACTCACAAAGCTCCAACAAAGAATGACGAGCTGACAACCTCCAATGAAGAACGACGAGCTGAGACCTTACATGAGTGGGCTCCCACAAAGAATTACAGCTAAGACCCTACATGGGTAAACTCTTATGAAGAATTATGAGTTGAAATCCAACTGAGCTTCCTGGTTCCAGGTCGTCACTCATCAGTTTCCTGGTTCCAGGTCGTCACTCATGAGCTTCCTGGTTCCAGGTCGTCACTCCTGAACTTCCTAGTTCCAGGTCGTCACTACTGAGCTTCCTGGTTTCAGGTCGTCACTATTGAGCTTCCTGCTTCCAGGTCGTCACTCCTGAGCTTCCTGGTTTCAGGTCGTCACCTCAGTTTCCTGGCTCTATGTCATGATGCCTCGGCTCCGGCCGCGATGACTCCGGTCATCATTATTTACCTCGGCTCCGGCCATTGTGACACCAAGTCACTAGTTCTACTTCGGCTCCGGCCATAGTGACCCCGAGTCACCTATTTCACTTCAGCTACGGCTATAACACATGACTCTGTGTCATACATTTTTTCCTCAGCTATGGCCCAAAACACATGCACCGAGCTCGCTTGGTTTTAACACCAGCTCCCCCACGCCTGCTCGATAGGAAGCCGGCATACACATGCACAACAAACTTGGCCGCGATGGCTTCAGGCCGCCTAGATCGGTCGTGTGTGAGGGCAGACATGAACATAAAACATCACTCCTCATCCTCAAGGTCAAACACTGTGCTAGCAAGACTCCCAACCCAGTTCGTCAACTGAACACCGAGGGGGGAGTAATGTTGGGATTAGGCCCAACGCCCTCTGAGGGCCACATACAGTAGGCCCAACTACGTGCCCACAGGCCCAAGAGGAGGGGACATACCCACATGGGCCAATGAGAGGTTTACATGTGCAGATACATGTCAGCACTTAGGGTTATAAATACCCCCAACCACCTCTGAAGAAGGTAATTAATCTCTACGCTTCTCTCTCTGCAATTACTCCTTGAGAGCCTCTCTCTCTAAAGTATTGAGTATTGCTGACTTGAGCGTTGGAGTGTTCTCCCCGAGGAAACATCCTCGGGATTTTCAAGTGTAGAAGCAGCTGAAGACTTCAACAGTGTTGGATTGTGAAGCTGCCGAAACAGGACCCAACTGTCACACGAGCTTCACTAGTCAGCCAAGCTTGTTCGCCATGGAGAAGAGACAAGGAGAGGAGATAGAAGGAGAAGTGCCTAAGGAAGAAGAGGATTGGGTGAGTGAAATCAAAGAGCTATGTTCTCTTCGAATCGGAAGAAAGGGGAAAGTTGTATGTTTGTGCATTGATGTGCCCCACGGTTCAATCGAATGCTGGGTTTGATCGAACCCAACCCAGTAGATCACTGGGTTCTTGAGAACCCAACGAAACACGTTACCCACCAGTAGATTTGCTGGGTTTCGAACCCCCAGCAAGCTTGAAGAGAGGGTTTAGATGGAGGAGATGAGATGAGGAAAGAGATGATGAGGAGATGATTAAAACCCAAACCAACAAACAAGGATCGAGGGGAACAAGATGAATAACATTGGAGATGAAAAGTAAAGGGTAACAAAAGGAGAAAGGAAAGAAAGTGATGCGTGGTTGAAGATAAGGGTAAAAACGTAATTTTAGTTTTATTTATAATTTAACCTTTAATTTTTAATTGGAAATTACACGTCATGTATTTTTATCACATTATCAATCCTACGTGTCAACATACTTTTACATGTCATCTTTTTTCAGTCAAGTAACTGGACACATAAGCAGGCTTTTAACAGAAGAATCAAATTGAGGTCAAAATGGTAAATAATAAGGACTAAATCAAATATTTTTTGAGTTAAGAGATTAAATTGAGAGTCTATATAATAGTTAAGGGACCAAAATAAAAATTTAACCTTATAAAATCTGATCTTAAACCTAATTTTAAGAGCACACTTAATAATAGACACGTAACCTTTAGAGTTGGATGAAAAGTTTTATTGTGCAGTAATGGTCACGGGCGTGGTAGAACTCAGGACCACTAGTCTTTTCCGACAGTCTGCACATGGGTCAGGATCGCCATAACTTCCTACTTTTTCTATTCTAAATTGGATCTTGTGATTTTTTATACTATATTATTTATTTCTAGGAACAAAATAGTGAAATACTGCAATATACGACTAGAACTAGTACTATAATTAATTAATTAATTAATTAATTGAGTTTTGAACTTTTGATTGCTTTCGCCTTTTTCAAGTGTTGAAAAACGACAAAGGGACAGCATTGGATACATTGCCACACATGCAAAGCGAAGCGGCGAGGAATGTAGCTTTCGGTGGCTCGGCCGTATCACTCATCACACCATGTTGGATGCATGTCCAATGTTGCTTGAATATGTCCAAACACCACATGAATCTTTTACATATACATTGCATGCCGAATTCATTTCCTCTTCTCCTTGCTTTTTCTTTTTCTTTATTTTTAGGTTAAATCTCTAATTTAGTCCCTCAACTATTATACAGACCTTGAGTTGGTTTCTAAACTAAAAAATCTTTAATTTAGTTCTTAAAATTTTTAAATTTAACGCTAAGCTGATTTTTTTATTAAAAAAAATTAACATACCTATTACTTAACGATGGAAGATCATTACTTAACAGCTATTTATCATGTTTGTAATGAGACATATCAGTTATTTTTTAATGTAGAGACTAACTTAGAGTTATATTTAAAAACTTTATGGACCAAATAAAAAATTTTTGAGTTTAAGGACCAACTCAAAGTCCTTACAATAGTTAAGAGATCAAATTGGGGTTTAACCATATTTTTATTTTCCCATTGTTTTGTCATCTCTGTTCGAATTGTAGTGAGCTAGTAACAAGGTGTATTTTAAAGGGGAAATTGCTATTTAGCTACTTGTAGTTTGAGATAAGTGCATATAAAGATTTAAAATTCTAAAATATGCATGTAATATACTTGTAGTTTTGGTTATGTGCAAATAAAAATCCAAGATATCAAAATGTACATATAAACACTTGAGATCTACACTTGGTACAATTATTACTTGAAATTTCTTAAAAACCCCTAACTTAAAAGAATGAACAAAAAAGAAAATAAGAGTATTTAAGATAATTTTATATAATTTCAAGTGATTATATACATCTAATACAAACCTTAAGTCCTTATTTACACATATTGAAATCTTAAGTCTTGATGTGCACCAACCTTAAATCACAAGTATGTTATATGTGTATTTTAAAATTTAAAATCTTTCTGTACACCAACCCTAAACCACAACTAACTAAATTATAATTTCTCCTATTTTAAAGTACAAATATGGGCCCAAACCTTTTCTATATAATAAAACAAAACTACTCTATGTCAAGATTAATGAATTGAGACCAACAACGTGTTGGTTTGAGTGGAATGAGTTCGGTTCCCTTTAATAAAATCTCAAGTTCGAGTCTTATGAATGAAAAAACAGGCGTTGGGAGAGTTTTCCCCCTAATGGGGTCTGATATGGCTCGATTCCGAATTAGTCGAAATCTAATGTAGTTACAGGATACCGGAAAGTTAATACCAAAAAAAGATTAGCGAATTGAGAACATCTAAATTAAGGCTTAAGTATTTAGTAACATAGTCATTTTTTTAAATATTTTTTGATAGTTTAATTTTAAATGATGATGATTGAAAATTGAAAATTAAAATCAAAAACTAAAATTAACACCTTATTTATACAAAAATTTAAAATTGATAATTAAATAAAAGAATTATCAAAGTTTTTTTATTTAATGTTATTAATTTTTTTATTACAACTAAAACTAAAATTAAAAAGCAGAAACATTGCTAAACAAGTCTTACTTTATCCCTCACGTTATTTTTGGAATTGAACAAGGATTTACAAGTTCAAATAGTAAAACGGAAAGTTGCAACAACAACTTAGAGTTATAATATCATATAAAATTATAAATTATAAATTTATAATTATAATATGTTATTATACCGTACACTTGTAAGCAAAATCCACAAGTGCACCAAGTTCATAACCAAGTTAGCTTGCTATTCATAATCAATTACAAATAAATAAAGTCTATTAATACCTCTATTATAATTAAAATTTGAATAATTTTCAAATAAATACTTGATGTTCAAATAAATACTTGGAAGTCAAACTATGTATAATTGTAAACCAAATCCTCAACTTTCTAATAAGTCCAAAAGAACTAATCAAGTCTCAACTAAGTCCAAACTTACTTTAATAAGTATTCATCATACGCCTTGATTCCCAACGTCTCTAGTATCAT